TGTGCTCTTCCGATCTCCCCAAAACCCCAAAACCCCATTTCTAAAGATAGATAGTAAATCTGGCAATAAATTGTATATTAATAATATTTAGCTAATGGCAAACTTAAACATACCATTTTTACTTTTGCAACCTTCTTTGTGCGAATTCGCACCTTCAATTTAGACTTCAAAATTGATTCCGTATGAAAAATATAATTTTAAGCCAGGTGGGGCTCAATCCTAGAGACATTAAAATGCGAGCATAATTCATAAGAGTAATAGTGGACTTCATTTGGTTCCAGGTAGCTTTATTAATGACCATTAAACTAATCTCATAATTATTTTTTAGATTAACTTAATCAAGGTAAATCACCTAGCTCTCAACTTAGATAAGATAACAGAGATCAAAATTATGACCCGACTAAGTATTCTACTTTTGAGGATATTCCTAAGAATCTCGTCATCATGTCAGATATGAAATCTGGTAACATGATATTATGCCATTAAGAGCATTATTTGACAACTAAAAAGATGGAAAATAGTGTTCAAAAGCAGAAAAATGTGACCAAATTTATTGTTAGTCTCATTCCTAGAGTTGCCTTGATACCTTCAATTAGTGAGCAATCTGGTAAAGTAGTTGATTACACTTTAGTACGATCCCCAGCACCGAATATTTTGGTAAGAAAATGAATGAAATTTATATTCATTTCAGAGTACAAGCACCCATCTATTGGTTACAATTCATGAGGATAATAGAATCAGATTGTGGAACACGAATGACGGCAGATGCCTTTTAGCTTCTCAAAAGGATATGCTAGTTACAAAAGCAACCAAAATTGAATAGATAAAAAATCATCCAGGAAACGTATTGATAATTGGAGAGGAGAAAGATGTGTATGTTGTTAACATTTACAAGATGATGGTGTACAAGCATTTCCAATATGACATTGAAGGATGTCTCAGTTGTATTTTCTAAGATAAAAATCTTGTCATTTGTGGTAATATAAATTAGATTAAAATATTTACTTTACAGATAAGAAAGGAAAAGTATATATTTGGAGAGATGACTCGGAATAATCTCCAATAAAAAATGCAAATAACAGCACGCTTTTTGAGTTATCTAATCATTAAGATGATTGTGAAACTTTTTCATATGTATTAAATTATTCAGCCTTAAATTATAGAATTTAGAACAATCAATCGGAGAGGATGATGAAATACCAGATAACTAAGTGCTTGCTTTTTACTTTATAAATTCAGAGCAAGTTTTCATCATTAGTGAACATCGAGTGGATCTTTACTTATAAAAAACTAGGAATACTATTTTCTCTTTCAGCAACAAAAATAAACTGATATTTGCCAAATTTATCAATATTTGTGAAAGAGAGATGCTTATAGTAGTTAATCAAGATTTGGATTGCTGCATATTTGACTTGAAGAGACTTAGAAATGAGGTATAGTCTCATCATAGTCAAAAATTGAATCCACACTAGTTTGCTTTAGTGCAGATGAATCTGTTCGAAAATTCAAGATTTTTCGATCACAATCTTGTCAAGCATGAAGATCATTAGAATATATTTAATGATGCAGAAAGCATTAAAAAGGAATACATAATTAAAGTGAGAGAGCAGTTAATAAAACACTAGGACTCTAAAGAATAACAATTGAACTTCAGATATTCAAAGAGTGAAAATGTGTTGTACACATTTGTAATTGTAGAAAATGAATCTAAGATGGTTTCTTGGAGTTTCCAAACAATATTTGAAAACTTGAATTACTAAGAAGAACTTGGTTCAGATACTAAACTACCTTTATTTGTAAACAATATTTAGCTATTCCCACAAGCTATTGAGAATTGTCCAATTAACTTTTACTCTTTAGTGATTAAAAATATCTACAATAAACACTAGTTCCAGTTTTTCTTCTCAGATGAAAAAGTTACAGATTCTGTTACATATGGATCTTCAGACAACCCAGCATTAATTATAGGAACAAACTATGGAAGAATTTTTATAGTACCAATGTTTCAAGAGAGTGATGAGAGAGTTTATCCAATAATTTTGATTGATTAGCATCATTAAACTCCTATCACTCAGTTGTTCGTTGCATATGATTCTAGCAGAAGAGTTAGAGGACCAGTTAAAAATTCTCAAAACTAATAGCATCCCGTCAAAGATAATCTATATGATCACGGAGGTCATCTCATTGGTGTAAGTTAAGATGGAACCGTCTCTATCACAAATCTAAATAGTGGAGAGATCAATAGAGCACTACAAAATTTCAATCTTCAGGATAAGGAGAAAAATAGAGCAGATCAATTCATAACTTAAGTTAATGAAAACAGAAAAAATAAAAGGAGAAACAGTATTACACAATGCTTCTAGATGAATTCTTTCTTTCACATGGTGAAATGCAAATCATAAAGCGTCTATGACTATTCGGCATTCGGTAAAATCGAAAAGATTATTGAGGTTAAAAGCATTACAAAGCTTTAAGAAAAAATACTAGGAATCAATCATCACAACTTATTCAGATCGCACACAATATCAGCTGAAAGAAAATCTGAGTTTGAAGACTATTCAACTTAAAAGAGAAGAGGATCATTTTAAGGATAGAATTTTGCAGATGAATATTTCTAAACTCATTTGTCTACTTACGCTTGCATATCAGATGATGGCTCAGTATTAGTACTTCAGATCTCAAACTTAAATTCTACTCTAAATAAGCTTTAAGGAATGGATTCAAAAGCAGTTGGTGTTTATAGTAATGATGAGCTGAATTAATACTATATTCTAACAGAAAAGCTCAACTTCTATATCTATAACAGAAAATCTCACATTCTTGAAAGAAAATGTGACTTTAAATACGCAATTAACTCTCTGTATATCAAAGAAACTGTTGAATATCTCGTTTCAAAGAATGAGTGTTTCAAGTTAGCTACAAAATCTGATCATAATGTCTTTGACTATGAATCTTTTGAAAGAATATTCAGAAGATAATCATTATTGATGGGATAAGGCACTCATAAGATTCTCGATTATTTAAGTTTATCATTGAACTTACCACTTTAATATCATCCCCACAATATGCATTCTCATAAATACACTAAGGTGATGCAAGATATCTTAAATAACAGATAGAGCTTAACTGATTTCAGCAAAAAAGATGAGGCGTAGAAAATTATATTGAGAGTTATCAATGATAGCTTCTTTAATAACAACTTGATGTATAAATCTGATTTTAATGATGAATACTTCTATCGATAGACTGGTGTCACTGTAATACAAACAAGTGATACTATATTCAGGTCGAAATAACAAATAATCATAGCTAACACAAAGCAAATAATAAATGTAATGAGGCATAAAATGCAAAAAATAAAGAACTAAAAACTTCAATAAAATTCACAACCTGGTGGAGGCTAATTGAACAAATAGAAAGCCCCTGGAAACAAGGGAGATTAAATGGTACTTGATGAAGATAAAGAAGAATCGAAATTCAGTAGAGGTACAATTACACCTAAAGGAAGAATGTCTAAGAAAGTACCATAATTCTCTGCATTAAGAAACGAGAATATTCCTTAGTAACCAGAAAATGAAGGGTTAAGTAAATATAAATGGCCATGTAGACTCCTCTCTCTAGTTCATCCTTTTAATATTGACTTCAATGTAGATGAAAATCTAGAGCGATTCTTTGGCTTAAACTTGCCTTTCTTAGATTTTAGACTTGGTATTCAAGGTGCAGATGAAAGCTTTTCATTTATAATATCTAAAGAAGATGAAGACTATCACTCTGAAAGAAATAATATATCAAAGATGCTGAGATTGCTGAGACTTTCCAAGTATTCAAGAGGCCAATTGAAACCATCAATTGATTTCCTTTAAGAAAATGCTAGAGTAAATACTTAAGTTCTAGGATCAGTACTTCAGTTCAATACATCTGATATAGACTCAGAAGTGCCTGATAGATTTTTCGGCTCAGAAAACTGGAAGATATCTAGTTACATGTCTACAATAATTCCTACATTTTTCTTATCTCAGCTTGTCTCAATTGTTGAATATAGCCAGCCAGACATCACATTCTTACTTTAAGAATGGGTTTATATCCTCCAAAGAATAAATTAGTAAAAAACTATCCATAATAGTAATGGCATTTCTTTATCAGTAGTAAGTAAAATTTTGCTGAAGAAAGATGCAAACATATCTACAACAGGTAGAGATATCATAATGAAGCCCATCCTTTATACAATTGATACTGACTAATTAAAACACTTAATAGATGAATGGTCTAATCTTATTATGGAGACATACAAAAAATTAAAGAAAGAATCGTCTGTAAAATCTAACTATGGGCAGCCTCATGCTGGTAACCATTTAGCAGTAAATGAAGGTTCTAGGTCTTAGAGCACTCATGCTTAAAATTAATAACAGAATGTGAGAAAACTTATCAACTAATACTTTGGAGAACTTGAAATTAGAGGTCTTGTCAATATTTCATTCTTTGCTCTATATTATTTTGATCAGCTTGATCATACTCTCTAATATAGAGTATCTAAGCTTACTACAATTTTGACCAGAGAGATAGTTGATAAGTTTGACAAGAATAAGAAATATATCAATTTATTGACTTTATTGCTATAAATTCTTAGCATATGGATGAAGAGCTAGGGCAATTAATTCAATAATAAGCCCCTAATAAGTGAAGTAATAAAACTTCTACTATACATCTATAATATCAATAAATCTGCATTGAACAAAGAAAATGTGATTACTGTAAGTAAAGTAAATCAATAATTCTGTTTATAGAGAGTTACTGGATAGAATTTCCATTTAATTAAGCCTACTAACCCAGAACTGTATTTAAAGCTTACAGCTGCAAGGTAAAATATTTTACTTATATTTTTCATAGAGCCCTTCTTGAAATCGGTGAGAATTTCACTTACGATTTCCTTTAGCTTATATAAGAAGAAGCCACTCATTTATAGCAAAGTCCTGAGTATCAATAAAATGTCCTAGAAGTTTTAAAATTCTTTATTAATGGATACGGAGAAAATTTGGAGAATCATCTTATATAATTGACATAAATTCTTTTGAAATGCCTTGATCCAAATGAGTTAGCACTAAGAAAGAATTCTCATAAGATTATCTCAGTTATTTTAAGCATAATGGTTAAGATGTTCCCTATGGTCGCATTCCATCATGAATCTTAGAGACTAGCAGTTGGTACTCATGATGGACCTATCGCTATTTATGATGTTCGAACTTCTGCAAAATGGAAGATATTAGAAGGACATTCAGGTAATGTTACTTGTTTGAGTTTTGATTCAAAAGGAAATCTACTTGCATCATATTCTGCAGTTGATTTGACTTTAAGACTATGGAAAGTTGGTAACACAGGTTTCTTCTCAACCATAATGGGAGGAACTGGAAAGAGTGCTAACACAATCATTCTTGAGCCATTGAGAAATATTAAAAATCCTCATCACTTGTTGCAGATGAAAAAGCATCAATCAGTTTATTAACAAGACATGAAATCAAACAGCAATTTACTAGATGATGCTCAAATTTAAAATCAAGCTTAGGGCAGTTCTTAGCAGTCTTCTGGCGGTAGTAAGAGAATCAATAAATGCAGCATCAAATTTATTTTGCCCAAGGAAAAACATGTTGAACTTGTAAGGGAAGATGGCGTCACTACTTCACATAAGCTTGTTAAGTGATCATGATAATATATAAATTAGTTAAATTGCTAAGAAATTTATGTTAAAAGTTATTACTCTATATTAATTTTTCAACTTTGTAAGATCTAAGCAAAAATCAGTCTTAAAATAATGTCTCTTGTTAAGGCTTTGGGTAGTTTACTGCTTTATTCTGGGGTTAACTTCCTGCAGAAATACCGATATCATCACCTTCGACATAATTATATCTTTGAGCCTATCCGTGATATTACTCATCAAAGTAACTTTTTTAGCTACTAATATAATTTCCCAGAGATGAATGGAGTGATTCCATGAGGCCAAAGAGACCTTTAACAAATTAGGCTGAGATGTAGTTTGGAAATTTGTATTGGAGTGATAATATCCATACAATATAGTACCAATCAATAAATAGAAAAATAGAAGCAATTGTAATCATGGATAGATCAGCATAGGCTGACTGTACCATTCCGAAATCTTTTATCTAGGAAAAGAACTAGATTAGATCTAAAAGTAAACAAACAATTGTTGAAATAAAGTAGATGATCAACCATTTTCTAGTTTGATTTGAGAAATCTTTTAGAGCATCTCTGGCAGCCAGTATAATATAATTCATAATTGCTTAGAATGTCATTTTATCATCTTTCGGTATAGACATGTTGCTCGCCATTTGATGTGACTTTGGCAACTTTTTCATCAAAATAAGCCCAACTCCTCCTCTTAGTACATGGAAAATATGAAACCAAATATAAACCATTTCAGTTGGATCAGTGAAGAACAATAGCATGCTGAAAATGAATAAAGCTAGTTCAACAAGAGAAAACCAAAATAATGAGGCAGTCAAATCGTTCTAAAAGGCTAATTAAGACTATCTGCTTACAAGTACTAATTCAGTTTTGATTGCTAAATCTAGGTAAACTAATGCTTGCTTGATATGAGCTCCACTTGGCAAAAATGCTTTAGCTAATAACATTCCTCCCATCTAGTAAAGCTATGACCACCATATTGATATTTCTTACTTTACTCAAAAGTGATTCACCTCCACTAACGAAGAATTATTACTAAATTTATTCAAGCTTTTGGGGTTAGTTCATCAAATCTGGCATGCTTGATTGGAATTCTTATTTAAAGTCTTGAAATGGTGATAAATCATCATCATCAGATCCATTTCTTCCCTAGAAATATTAACATATGAAAGTCTTAATACACTGCTATGTTTATTATCATTCATTTTTCCGAGTATAACAATTCAAATTTCAATTTAATTTGACTTCAGATTATTATTAAACTCTGACTCACGGGGTTTTGGGGTTTTGGGGTTTTGGGGTTTTGGGG